AAAGATCCTTTCCCCTTTAATTAAGAAATTATAACAGTTAAAAGGCTGAATATTAAGAAAAAAAAACTGTTCAACGAGAACATCTTTACTGTTACATTTAGCGTTTTCATATCCTTGGCTACCTTCAATCCACTCTTCTATTGGTTCTGTAATATTTTCTATCATTTTTATATTGTTAGTTATTATTTCCATGTATATTTATATTGTGCTCTGTATTCCTATTTAAGTGGATTCACTGCTATAGCTTATTTGTGATAATTATCAGTTTAATGCTTATCAGCTCCAAACACACTCTTCTTAAACTATCTGTGAAACATATCTGGGACCTTTAAAACCCATTTCCTTTTGCCAGTTGGCACAGCATTAAGCTGTGTCACCTGCGCACTCTAAGAGTGTGTGTCTCTTTAAATTTTATGCTCTAGGCACCTCACACTCCTCACTCTAGTTCTTACTCCCAGCCTTTGGGTTGAGTTTAGTTCTTACCAAGTGACCGTAAATTTCTGTTGCTCAGCCTGGCCCGTGTGGCTCAGTGGTTGAGCATCGACCCATGTACCAAGAGGTAACCAGTATGATTCTCGGTCAGGGCACATGCCCAGGTCAGGGCCAAATCCCCAGTTGGGGGGCATGAAGGAGGCGGCCAACTGATGTTCTCGCTCATCGATGTTTTTCTCTCTCCTTCCCTCTCCCCCTTCCTCTCTCTCTAAAAATCAATAAAGAAAAAAATTTTTTGTGTGTGGCTTATTTGTTAGGCAAATATGCAAGGGAGTTCCACTCTGCCCAATTCACTAAAAAGTCCTTTCTTAATACTGTTAAAAAAACAAAAGAACAACCCTGACTATAAGTGTTTCAATCTTATCATAAATTAGAAAATTCTTGTAGCCCAAGAAGTTGGAAAGAAAACATTTCTCATCTATGAATTGTAACTAAAGGAAGTTAAGGTGACACTTTTATATGGGGGTAAAAATAATCACAGAATGTCTGTTATCTTACTATTATTTTAAATTATGATTTACTGAAATCTAAAACTTAAATTATCTTTCAGTTTTGAGAAATAAATAAGAGCTGAACTTACTTGATCTTTCCTTCCACTAATTGTTAAGTTACTTATGGCCCAAGCAGCTTCTTTCTGAGTGCCAAAATCCCCCTGCAAAAGCAAAGCAAAGGATACAAACTGCAATATAAAGTAAGTTAGAAAAAAATGTTTTCTGAATTTTATTGGGGTGACACTGGTTAACAAGTGTATAGGTTTCAGGTGTACAATTCCACAACATATCATGTATACACTGTATTGTGCGTTCACGACCCCAAGTCAAGTCTTCGCCATCATCATTTATCCCCCTATACCCTCCTTTACCTCCCTCCTCCTGGCAATCACACCACACTGTTGTCTGTGTCTATGAATTTTTTCTCTTTTTATGCTCAATCCCTCCAACACACCCCAGTTGAGATATTTTTCAACTGCTAAACATTTCCTCAGGTTTACACTGCTAGCCTTTCTATAGGCACACTAAGTTTTACTTATTAAGATAAACCTTTAAACTCAATTTACCCTAACCACATGGAGACTTGTTTTTGCAAACTCTGCTAGCAACAAATTACTTGGTATGTATTATTGTTCAATAATTTCAGATTAAATAAAATAAAGTTAAGGATAAAATAAAATAGTTAAAAACATAAGAAAATGTACAATTTAAAGAAATGTCAAATAAGAAGTATCCTTTTAAACATATAACAGTTTTCTTTCTTTCTTTTTACATTTAAAATATACCTTTATTGATTTTTTAGAGAGAGAGGAAGGGAGAGAGAAAGAAACATTGATGCAAGAGAGATACACTGATCTCCTGCATGCCACACACTGGGAATCGAGCCCACAACCCGGGCATGTGCCCTAACTGGGAATCATGGGAAGATTCTCAATCCACTGAGTCACATCAGCTAGGCAAAACATGTAACAGAGATTTAAAAATGATAACGCCCACCATTAATTCAATAAATTATGATGTAAGTATTACCCTCATATTTTGCCTTTCAAATACAAATTGAAACATATATTTAAAAAGTCATGATTTAGCCCTGGCCGGTTTGGCTCAGCGGTTGGAGCGTCGGCCTGCGGTACGGAGAAACCTGGGTTCGGTTCCCGCTAAGGGCACGTACCTCGGTTGTAGTTTGTCCCCGGCCCTGGTTGGTCGTGCGGGTGGCAGCCACTCAATGTGTCCCTTCACATCGATGTTTCTCTCTCTCTCTCTCTCTTCCTCTCCCTCCCTCCCGCTCTATCTGAACAAAAAATGGAAAAATGTCCTCGGGTGAGGATAATAAATAAATAAATAAATAAATAGTCATGATTTAGTAATCTCACTTTAAGAATTTACCAAGAAAATGATTTAAAACAAGGTCATATTATGTATCTATCTATATATACTGTCTTAGCAGCATACAATAGTTAAAAAGTAAAAGCAACTCAAATTCTCAATAGGGAAATAATTAACTAATTACAGTAACTCTACTGAATAAAATAATAACCAGTTATTAAATTTTAAGAAGCTAGCAACCGGGAAGAATGCTTATAATGTATTAAGAAGAAAACATGTAAATAAGAACAACAAAAATTAAAACTACAGAGGGAATATTTACTCTTATTTATCTGACTGATCAACTCCAAGTATCTGTCAGTAGGAGTGCAAAATGGTACAACCCTTGTGGGGAGTAGGTGTAATATAGTAAAATTTACATATAGGAATACATGTAGATCTAGTAATCCCAAATATAACCTGGCAAAAAACAAACAACAAAACATACGAACTACTTTTTAAAGTACTATTTAATAGCAAAACACTAGAAACATCTCAAATATCATAAAATAATGTACTGAATACATTATAGCACATCCATACATACAGCGGAGTGCTATGTAGCTACAACAAAAATAATAAAAAGGAATAAGGAAGCTACAGTGTCATGGGAGTGATCTCCAGGATGTATTTTGAAAAATATTTTTAAAAAGGCAAATGCAAGAAAATATGATAGGGTGGAAATAGGCATGTACATAGGCATTTACTTATATTTAAAAAAGAAACAATGGAGGAATAAACCAAAAACTAATATAAACTATTATCTGTAAAGGAAGGGAGACAATAAAGAGAAATGGGCAGAAATGTAAATTAGCCTTTTTTATATGGAACTAAAACAAGGTACATATTTTTTACTTGGAAACCATATAATGCTTTATATAACCAAAATCAAAATTTAAAAAATGGAGTAATCATGTTGTTTGTGGCAGTGTGGTCTTGTTATTTTGCTAGATTTTATATTATATATCTCAATATATCCTCAGTTTTTTCAGGAAGATTTCCAGAATAAAAGAGATCAGAACATAAAATCAAAGAAATGAAAATAAAAGCACTTCTCTTTTAAACAGCCAGTAATACCCAATAGCTTCCTTTCATTCATAATTTTTTATAAATTCTCATGTTCACATTATATTTCACTTTCTAAAAAATACATTATCACTTATTTTGTTCACTCAGTCCTAGAAACAATGACAACTTTGTAGCAATGATCATTCTTAGTACTTTAACTATGATCCTTAAATACCATTCCCTACAAAAAAGAACCATGACACCCAGGAGAAATAGTTCTTTCAAGGTCTAGGTCAGAAAATATTTAAGATAAGCCTGGGAATCATGTCATATCCATGAAGAAGAAAGCTCTCAAAAACTACATGGTGATGAAAAAACAAACAAACAAACAAACAAACAAACAAACAAACAAAAACCCCACAGAGACACCAAATTTAAGAGGTTCCCTTTGGTCAGGGAACAATCTAAATGCCAGAAAGAATTATAATGGACTAAAACTTACACACACACAAATATATGTAAGTAAATAAATCCGTAATTTCCAAATAACACTAAAAATTCCACCTTAGTCTCCTCTCCTTTTGAGGATTGAACCTGCAACCAGGTATGTGCCCTGACCAGGAATCGAACCTGAGACCCTTCGGAGCATCGATGATGCTCCAGCCAAATGAGCCACACTGGCCAGGGCTCACATAATTTGTTAAATTTAAACCCTTTACTCTTACTCAGATACATATAAGGATGATTTTCTTACCTTATCCAAAAGGTGTATTATCATTGGGACAAGATTGGCATCAATTACTGCCTGAACCTGCTGCTGATTTCCTGCCGTGATGTTAGAGAGGAACCACACTGCTTCCTGTAGAACAAGACCCTTTCAATATTTCTCATTAAAAAATAAAATCTGCATCTGAACTAAGAAAAAAACATGTTCACTACAATGTCTAAATAATTTTATTATGGAATGGGTTCCATAATAAAAATTTTAGGAACCTCAACTCTATCTCTTTTCATGTTTTCTTTGGACAAATGGCTAATCCAAGTCATAATGAACTAACTCTTCTAGAGTATTTTTGAAAGCAATTTCCCAAACACTAAGACTCAGGAAGAAGGCTGGCTGAACAAGTACTAAGGAATCAAAGGGATGTTACACAAATACAAACCCTAAAACTACTGTAAACAAGATTCAGCATCCCCCTAACATAATGTGCTTTATTCTCTATTCTATTCTGATCAAGAGTCCCAGCCAAAGTAGAATAAAATAGTGTGTTGTTTTAACATACTTATTTGTAAGTCATTCAATGCCCCAAGTCTCTCAAGAGCTAAAGCAGAACCAGATGTTTGAATCCTTTACTGGTTTACCTTAAAGATCTTACTTAACGCTATCCTTTATACCACAATGGTGCTACTTTGGCCAAGATGTTTACAAGCTTTTACAGGTTTCATAGATAATACATGCACACTGAAACCACAGTTAACATGAAACAAGGCAAAATATCTACTTAACATCCTATGTTGGACATTACTATAATTTATCAAACTTAATATATTTATCAATTTACTAAAGGGAAACATTTTCTCTGCCTTAAACAACTTTCACTCAAAAAACTATTAGTATTAGCTAGTGTGCAATAATAGGCTCTTTCGGATCAGATCACAGGAACGTGTTTAATGAACCTGTTAAAGATTTTAGGGTGTTAGGCTACTTAGGTGAGCTGTTCTTGGGTTATAATCATCGGCCATGTTGTAATCAACAACCCATGTATTTCTACAACAGCCTCAGATGCACTCCAATATCAGCATCACCAGTCAGTGCCCCCTTTCCATAGCCTCCACGAACACGCGCACACACACACACACCCCTCCCCCCACATTAAGTATCTATAAAATATTAAACCTAGATTACTTAACTTACATATTAAAAATTTCCAATCATACAACATTCAACACCCAATTATCTTTATTTCATCATTTCCAAGAGAGCCAAATTTGCACTGTTTATAATTGGTTTGTTTATGGAAAATCATATACCAATCCATGTTACAAATAGTAAAATATTTTATCTTCTTTCGATGTCTAAATGACAGTTTACACTAATATTATAAGCAGTTCCGAGTCCCTAACTTTACAAATGAAAACTGCTGATATTTTATTTATTAAATAGTATTTAAGAATACTTACTTTATTAATTTTCTCTTTGGGATGTGTCAGAAGTGCTGGGAAATGTGACAGAGCATCACAGTTCAAAACTACTTGTGTTTGCTCATCAGTTCCAGTAACAATGTTGCCTACAGCTCGAAGTGCAGCAGTCTGAAACATAAAAAGATTTAATGAGATGTTTGTTCTATGTGAAATATTCCTTATCAGAGGTATGTCAGGCAGGTTATGAAAGTTTCATTCCTTCCTTCCTTCACTCACTCATATCAACCTATCTGTTTTGAAAAAGTTGTGTCACACACTGACTTAGGAAAAGAGTGAATAGAACACAAATCCCAGCTCTTATGAAGCTCACATTATTGTAGAAGTGAGTCAAAAAACAAATAATAATAATAATTTTAGGTAGTAATTAGGGCCATAAAGAAAATAAAGTGTACTTTAGATTTTAGATTTAGTGTTTCAGTAAGTTAAGAAAAACACAGTGCCTTTCTGAAGGAAAGCAGGAATCTGCTTAATATATGAGATTTCACTAATCATACAAATTTGAATTATCAATTATTTTTCTTTAGTTGTATTAGGTCATTTTCTGTTACTTTTTTTGGCGAATTTTTCCTTCTATAAGACAAACAACCCAGTTTTTTATTTTCAAATGAGATATAATTCACATAAAATTCATCCTTTTCAAGTCTACAATTTAGTTTTTCTTAGTATATTCAAAGTTGTACATCCACAACTATTATATAATTCCAGAATATTTTCATCACCCCAGAAAAGGATATCTGGACCCCATAGGAGAAATTCCCATCATCCTTACCTCCAGATTGCTGGCACTCACACTATGCCTATTCCTGTGGATTTGCCTGTTCTGGACATTTCATATAATCGGAATAAAACAGTAGATGACTTTTTGCGTTTGGCTTCTTTCACTTAACATAATCTTTTTAATGTCCATTCATGTTGTAGAATGTATCAGAATTTCATTCCTTTTTGTGGCCAAATAATACTGCACTGCATGGCTATATCTCATTTTATTTAAACATTCATTAATTGATGGACATTTGGATTTTTTCCACTTTTTGGCTATTAAGAATACCGCCATGAACATTTGTGTATAAGTTTTTTAAAATGTTTTTATTGATTTTTTAATTTTTATTTTAAGAGAGAGAGGGAGAGATAGAAACATTGATGTGAAAGAGATACATCAATTGGCTGCCTCCTGCACGCCGCTACTGGGGATCAAGCCTACAACCCGCGCATGTGCCCTGACTGAAAATCCAACTAGGACCTCTTAGACCATAGGCCTATGCTTAATCCACTGAGACACACTGGCCAGGCTGTGTACAAATTTTTATGTGAAAATATGTTTTCAGTTCTCCTGAGTATATATCTGAGTGAAATTGCTGGGTCATAAAATACACTATGTCTAACTTTCTGAGGTCCTGTCAAACTAATTTCCAAAGAGGCTGTACCATTTTATAATCCCACCAGTAGTGTATGAGGACTCCACTTTCTCTACATCCTTGCCAACACCTGTTACTGCCTTTCTAAAAAAAAAAAAATGTTTTTATCAATTTTTAGAGAGAAAGGAAGGGAGAGGGAGAGATAGAAACATCAATGAGAGAGACACATCGATTGGCTGCCTCCTGCACACTCCCAATGGGGATCCAGACCACAACCTGGGCATGTGCCTTGACCAGGAATTGAACCAGTGACCTCTTGATCCATGAGTTGATGCTCAACCACTGACCCACACTGGCTGGACGTTACTTATCTTTTTTATTATAGCCATCCTTGTAGGTATAAAGAGGTATTTCCTTAATGACTAATAATGATGAACATCTCATGTGCTTACCGACCATTTGTATGTCTTCTTAGGAAAACTATATTTAAATCTTTTGTCCATTTCTAAATTGGGTTAATCTTTTTACTGTTAAGTTGATTATGTATTTTGGATATAAGTCCCTTTTTAGATATATGATTTGCAAAATTCTCTTCTATGCTGTAGGATGTCTTTTCACTTTCTTGATAGTGTCCTTTGAAGCACAGTTTTAAATGTTGGTAAAGTCCAATTTATCTAATTTTTTCCTTGGGTGCTTGTGGTGTCTTATCTAAGAAGCTACTGCCAAATCCAAGGTCAAAGAGATTTACACCTGTTTTTTCTTCTAAGAAGTTTACACTTTTAGCCCTGGCTCCTTTGGCTCAGCAGTTAGAGCATCGGCCTGCAGACCAATGAGTCGCAGGTTCACCTCCAGTCAAGGGCATGTACCTTAGTTGCAGTTCATCCCTGGCCCTAGTTGGGTCGTGCGGGAGGCAGCCAGTCAATGTGGCACTATCACATCAATGTTTCTCTCTGTCTCTCTCTCTCTCCCTCCCTTCCATTCTATCTAATGATACATAGAAAAATATCCTTGGGTGAGGAATAAAAAAATAAATGAATAAATAAGCTTGAGTTTCTTTTAAAGAGAAAAATGAAGTTTATACTTTTAGTTCTTAACACTAATGTGTTTGAGCCATTTTAAGCTATTTTTAAAATATGGTGTAAAACAGAGGTTCAACTTTATTATTATTTTTTTTTGGTGGTACGTGCCCCTAGTGGGAACCGAACCCGGGACTCTCTGGTCCGCAGGCTGACACTCAACTGCTGAGCCAAACTGGCCAGGGCTCAACTTTATTCTTTTACATGTGTAGTCTCAGCATCATTTCTTTAAAAAAATAAATAAATAAATAAATTTTTTTCCCCCTTTATTGATTTGAGAGAGAGGAAGTGAATGCAAGAGAGACAGAAACATGGGTGAGAAAGAACATCAACTGGCCACCTCCTGCATGTCCCCCACTGGGGATCGGGCCCACAACCTGGGCATGTATCCTGACCGGGAATCAAATCGACAACCTCTTGGTGTGTGGGCTGATGCTCAACCACTGAGCCACACGGGCCGGACTCAGCATTATTTCTTGAATGTACTTTTTTTTTACCCACTGAATTTCTTTGGCACCCTCGTTGAGTTTCAACTGATCACAAAGATATGGGCTTATTTTTGGAGCCCTGATTCTATTTCACTGTCCATTTTTTAATGTCATACTTAAAGCAATTAGTGGTAAGAAAAAGTTATGTTTTTATCAACAATAAACTCACCTGAACTTTAACTTCCTGGTGGCTGAGCAGAGGAACCAAATGAGGTACTATTCCAGAGTCTATTACCATCTGTATCTGTTCATTGCCAGCATCAGTAAGGTAAGAGAGGGCCCAGACCGTATCTACCAGTATCTAATGAATAAAATGAAAATTCAAATAGCCTTTAAGTATTTTCTCATTTTAATAATTCTTAACCATATAGACTAATCTATGATTGTTCTACTACTTTCTTTTTCTCTCACCTCAATTCACTGAGATCTTTTTACTATACTAAATATCATCATCTATGAATGTTTGTATCTAGTATCTAGTACATCTTTCAGCCACATTCAGAATGTTTAAGTTAATTATGATCCCTGTCACAGTTTAGTATCTAATTTTAATTCACTAAGATAAAAAACACACTAGATAGCACATGAAATAGAAGAAATTCTCTTTCCCAAATGCTCAGACTGAGGGATAATAGATCCAAGGACATTGTGGTAAATGTTTATAGTTGGAGAGAATAAATGTATTCAGCATACACAGTGGTTCCAAACATCTGGGCTAGATGGATATATTCAAGGTGTTCTCCAGTATTATTACTACCATGCAAGTATGTCTAAAGCCAATAAGCCAATATTAGGATTATAGTAGTTTCATCTTTTCCAATCAGTTTGCTTTGCTTATAAAACCAGAGGCAACTTCCCAAACAATGAAAAGTCTCTCACAGCTGCAGATCAAAACATGAAAAGCAACCCATGAGATCTATAATAAAAAAAACACATTCTAGGTAGAAAAATAAAATACATAATTTATACAAGCTGCCAAAACTACTTACAAAAAGAGCCTCTGTAATTTATACTTAAAATTTGCTTGTGATTTTTAATTATACCTGGCCATTGTGTTTCTTCTTTCTTTGTATTTAAGTCCTATTTAGAAGTTATGGCCAAAAGGAAGTATGGCAAACAACTGTTAAACTGCTACATAAATAAAAGAAATACTGACTAAGACACACATGTGAATAAAAATTATGCCTGGAACTTTACTTTTAAAGCCTTTCTGAGCCCTGGCCGGTTTGGCTCAGCGGTTAGAGCGTTGGCCTGCGGTCCGGAGAGACCCGGGTTCGGTTCCCGCTAAGGGCACGTACTTCGGTTGCAGTTTGTCCCCGGCCCTGGTTGGTCGTGCGGTGGCAGCCAGTCGATGTGTCCCTTTCACATCGATGTTTCTCTCTCTCTATCTCTTCCTCTCTCTCCCTCCCACTCTATCTGTACAAAAAATGGGAAAATGTCCTCGGGTGAGGATTAAAAAAAAACAAAACAACCTAAAGCCTTTCTGAAATATGGACTCTGTGTCAAAAGACAAACCAGAGAAGCTTGAAACATTTTAAATTCTAAACCAATGTTATGTTTAAAACATCCAAGAAGCTCCTAGAAGGAGAACATATCACTTTGCCATTGTTCCTTTCAAGAATTTAAGAAAGCTCTATGGATCTTTTTAATATAAAAAGAAGACACCAAATGAGAAAATTCACATACACAAAGTAGTATCAAAATATGTGAAACAACAAAATTACAACTTATAAATATCATCTTTTTTCTGGAGTGCCAACATATGCCAAAATTTGTTGATATGAGAAAAAATTTCAAGTTAACTGTGCCATGACTATATATAAAATCCAGATAGATTTTTTAAAAGGCTATAGTAA